CCTCACGTCACTTTCACTTATTTGGCATCTTATAACGTTTTATGTAAACAAATTCTCTTTATATTTTTGAATATAGACAATGTTTTTTTTTTTTTAAAGGGGTTTTCTATTGGATATTGCTTAGTTACCTCTATGCAAATACATTTTTATAATCAACTGCTTTTTTTTTGTTTTCATTTTTTTCATAGTGGCACAAACTGGAGAGAGTGCTGTTCTGGGCACTGTGGGAAAAGTTTGACATATCAATAAACATTTGGAAATAACTACAAAATGTGTGAATCATGATTTTTTTTTGTTTGTTTGTTTGTTTGCTTTTTATTCGTATAGTTCAACTGGCAGATCTAAGAATAAAGCTCGTAGGGTCCATTTCCAGCAAACACAGAAGTGATTAATTGTTTACCTTTAATACACTATACATACACTGTAAATGATAATCACATATAAACATGTGCATTTGTGCTGTTGTGCATTTCATATCATCACATTTCATTGTGAACTTTATCTGAGAGCAAGGAAAAGAACTGGCTCACACACATCTGTAGGTTAGCAAATATATTTTAATATAGAATTTAATATTTATATATTAATTTAAGCACAATGACAAAACGGCATCATTTCGGTTCAGCCTAATTCACTCCAAGAGAGAAGCCACATCTGCAGGTATATTTCACAAACAGGTTTCCATACTGAGTGTCCATCACTTTCTTGCTGCAACGTAAGACAAAAGAAAGAAAGCAAACAGAATCACTGAAGAAATGCTGACAGCAGTCCGCTCACAGAGGTTTAACGTTTAATGTCAGAAGAGAAAAATGAGTCCGATCAGCGAGAACAGCGATCTGCAAAGCGGTTTTAAGCTAAAGTGTCTTATGAAGCGACTTAGAAAAAAAAGAGCATCACATCTATAAATATGCAATGACCAAAACATGCCAAAACAAAGAAGTCCTTCAGCGAGAGTCTAAGACCAACCAAAGTTCAATATCTGTTTTCATTTCCAAGCAGCTATTCTACCCGACTTCATCACAGCACAGCACTGCATCTTTATCTTTATCCTCATCACAACCTCTAGGCTTCTTATCACGACAGCCATAAATTATTCTGCAGATTAAAGTCTCTGTTTTAAGCTTCTGAACAAACACAAATCCAGCTGGCACTTCGTTGTGGCACGAGAGCATGCTTTAGTCCTCAGTGTAAACGTTACGAGAATAGCTCTAACAGCTCTTATGCGCACAATCATATCGCATGTGCTTTATATTTTAGACTTGAATGTGTTTTTTTTCTTGCTACAAATGTGCATTATATTATCCATATATGATATGTCTCTCTATTCGTCTTTCCATTCCTACAGTAACATCACCTCGTCTAACATGTTTATCATCGGATCTTCAGCTCAAACCACCTCTACAAGGTCTCTACATTTCCACCTCAACGTTTTAGGAATGTGAAGTCAAGAAACAAAGAAAAATAAAATTACAATGCCTCTATGTCTAAACCAGTACCGCGTGTGGATCTCACGAAAACAGTCAAGAAATATGTATGGGCCAAGAAAAAAAAAAAGAAAAAAGTCAAGACAGGCTTTCAATGATTAAGGAAACACTCCATTTAAACATTTTGCAAACATTATAGAACATTACTTTCAAATGTTCCCTTAACATTCTGAAACAAGTAGCAAAAAAAGTGTGTGTGTGAGAGAGTGTGTATGTGTGTGTGTGTGTGTGTGTGAGAGAGTGTGTTTGTGTGAGAGAGTGTGTGTGTTTGTGTGCGTGTGAGAGTGAGTGAGTGAGTGAGTGTGTGTGTGTGAACATTAAAGGGATAGTTCACCCAAAAATGACCAAATAGTTGACAGCAACCATTGACTTCCCTTGTATTTTTTTTCATACTGTGAAAGTCAATGGCTACCGTCAACTGGTTGGTTTACCAACATTCTTCAAACTATCTTATTTTGTGTTCAACAGGAGAAAGAAACTCATACAGGTGTGGAACAACTTGAGGATGAGTGAATGATGACAGCATTTTCAGTTTTGGTTGAACTATCCCTTTAACTAGAAGAACGTTTGTTCATAACTTTGAAAGAATCTTGTCAGAACATCAACCAACATTCAGAGAACGTTCCTCATTAGCTGGGCATGTAAAATAAATAGTACGGTCCTAGAAAAAATATCATGTTCTTCATACAAAATAATACTTACATTTTTGGGGGGATAAATGGCCTTCTAGCTTCTTCGTGAGATTCACCGTGCAGAAGTTATTTGACTATATTAACTTTCATAGTTCCTGTGATCAAAGTATGCACTAAAGCACTACGATCCACTCTCTTAAACTACACCATAATTCATCGCCGTCGAAATCCCTCTCTTCACGATCTCAGTAACAGCATCACACCACTTCGACTGACGATGAGCGTCTCAATCTCTACGCAAACCGATTCCACGTTTCTCAGTCTCACGTTCTGACGGGGAACTTAATGAATGATCCTTAAAGGTTTTCTTGCATTTACAGCCAGTGGCTTCTCATATGAACATTTCACGACATGACAAGGGCATGGCTACTACAACACACTCATATTATGCTGAGAAGCATCACTAAGATACAGAACAAGCATTTGGAACAACACTACAATAAAATACAAAAACATAAAGATATGATGAAAAGACACATAAATGATGCTGTAAAGTTATCAAAGCAGAAGAATATAGAAAAGGATCTTGAGCCCAGAGTCCTACGATAAACCCAACAGAGCAGACCTGATCTGAGCATCACACTTACACTTACACTGATGAATAGACGCCCTCCCGCTTGTCCAGTTAGTACACACACCTCAGTACACCAAAACAAGATACACTTGCATTAAATAAATTAATCAATAATCAACATATTTGTATGTACAACTTAAGAACAAAACATCAGTCAGAACGTAAAAAAAATAAAAGAAAGAAAATCATATTGTGCAAAAGAAAACGAAGCCCATTTTTAGGTTTTTGCGTTACGGCATAATGTGTATGGTGACAAAAGCACATCCTTCCCCCGGTGCCATTATTATAAAGCAAAGAACAAAAAACTGTGTTATAATAATAGAAATCCAGGCATTGTGTATATTTTACGATATCTAGGTGAAATGTCAAAAAATGTAATGGCTCAAAAATAAGCTTAATTTTCTTTATGCATTTTTTGTATGCATATTCTGAAGTGGACAGGTTTGAACGAGATTTATTTCTGTGGTCATTTTTAGTCAAATTCAGTGGTACTTGTTTTGGACACATCGACTAAAAGCAGGATAAAACACCTCTCGAGTCGTGTTTCTGTTACGCCAACAGCGACACATCTTCAGCATCGCGAAGCTTTTGCAGCATTATCAAGGCTGATATGTTTTAATACCGTGACATCCAATTTGACAATTAAACGACATGATTATGTGTCTATGGCTTCAGCATCGCACTGTTTCGTAATACGTGCATCTAGTGGTTATTAACGACGTCGCAAACGTGTCTAGAGGAGACGCTCGTGCACAGTGCCCAATAATCTCTGCATAGAGGAAAAGAAGTGGCATTAAACTAGAGAAAGACACTGTGAAGAAAATAAACCGTATTCCATCAATCTGCTGCAACAGGAAGTTAATCCGAATACACCTTCGCAAAAGGAAACTTTGAAAAGGGCGAGCGATGATAATATGGCTTTTCCGATGTTCTCCAGTGGAGGCGCTGTGTTTTAAAAACACACCTCGTTAAATTGATCTCAAGCGCAAAGCACAGTGCTTAACAGAGGCTTAATAGAGACGAATCTACCGATCAGTGACTAACCGTACAGACATGCACACGATACGAGATCTAATGAAAGCCACCGTGAATGACGTGAGCACATCTGAAGCCCTTGGTTGCTGCTCTGGGGACGTTATGTTACGTTACATAAGCCTATAGAGAGCTGATCTAGAGTCAGGTATCACAGAGAACTCAGTCAGGACTGAGGATGCAAACAAACTAAACCATTAAACTAATAGAGAAAGGAATCTATTCAAAAGCGATCGCGGTGTGTCTGATGAGCGTTTGGCCGTGTGTCCGGAGAGACACTAGACAGGGAACATCACCACAGTCACAATGTCACACGCCGCAAGATTCACAAGATGATATCTGTACACAATCCAGAAACATCGATACATCAACAACAACAACAACAACATAACAAACTACAATAAATAGAATCATCTACAATCTGTTTTCCGAAGGGATCGTTCGTGACTTGGGATTTTACACGGTAATCTTCTCTAACATTCTGTCATTTACTCATCCTCAAATTAGTTTTAGTATTTATTGGACTGAAAAAAAGGACAACTTTTGCATACAGTGAAAGAGGAATGAGAGACCGTCAAACTCATGCATTTCTAGTCCTCTGATGTCAATCGATAGCGTTGTGTCAGAAAGACCAAAGTACACTAAAATTAATCAACTCAAATATATTTCAAATGTACTTACATTTAAATATGATTAAGCGGCAAGATGCCAGGTTTGACGTTACTGATACTGAATGCTTTAGGTTCTTGTCTGCTGACCGAATGCGATGCACCATGTTAAAATATGCAGAAGTGCAAATGAGATTTGTATCAAAGTTTGTTTCTGCTACAGAATAAATATATTTTAAAAAGTAATTCCAACTTTTTGTCTCACAATTCTGACTTTTTTTTTTCTTCAGAATTGCAAGTTAATAACTTGGAATTTTGAGTTTAACATTTAAACTAAAGTTAAACACTGCAATTTTGGCCTTTTCCTCAGAATGGCAAGTTTTTATATCGCAATTGCAAGTTATAACAGGTTACAATTACAGGTTATTTTCAGCCACACAATAATAATAATAATAATAATAATAACTTGTTTTTATTTACTTTTTATTAATGCTACTTTTTATCTCACAATTCAAATTTTTCTTTTCAGAATTGCGAATGTGCATTGAGTTTATATCTCACAATTCTAATCATTTTTTAAAAGTCAGAATTGTGCAATAAAAACCCAGAATTCAGGGAGAAAAGAAGCAGAATTTTTAGATAAAAAGTCACAATTACCTTTTTAATATTTCTGTCTATATATTTGATATTTTACTTCATGGCAGAAACAAGCATCTATAGATTTGATTGTGTGTGTGTGTGAGAGAGAGAGAGAGAGAGAGAGTGTGTGTGATATATATATATATATATATATAGTCCTCATTCACTTTTATTGTATTGAAAATATCATTTAGGACTTTCTACTATGCAGGGTAAATAAATTAAATCAGATCTGTCATTTTAAGGTGGCAGCGACAGAAATAAACTTGACTAATTCACTGATCTAAACCTTGACAGGACTTTTTTTAAGTCCTTAGAAATCCACAGTAACCATTTTTCAAGTTTAAAAGGGCCACGAATGTTCAGGGCCAGTCGATATCCGGCTTTTCCAAATATCCCAGACTTTTATAAATGCGTAGTTCCAGATTCAATGTCAGGTTTTGCTGAGGTCTTACAGCTTGTTTGCTTCGATTCAGCAAAATCACACAACAGAATAATAGAGAGTTGCAGAAGCAGCCTGGAACTGAGCGCCGCGTGCAGACGCATAAAAACCGCTGCGGCTTTATCGGCTGAAAACAACAGTCTGCAGGGGCTGAGCACACAGTGATCAAGCGAATTTAGAGTCGTGTTTAAACAGTCTTTCAGCAGATGGTGCGAAGGAAGGAAAAGGCGAAGGAATATCACAATCATAATCATGATATCAGTATTTGTAAACGCAGCACAATCTTAATATGCTGTGTGTTAGGATGAAAAATAGATAAAAATAGACGGAAACAGCTAAAACGGTGCACTGTTTAGATACACAATGTGATCCGTACAGACTTTTGGCCACATATCGAGTGCTGCAGTTATCTCATTAATATATATATTTATATATTTATTACATTTTTAACCACATCTGTGACATAAATATCCCTGTTTTAGTCGCAGCTGTTTCTTACCCTCTATCAGTATATAAGTGATCAACTGAAAATAGATGTGATATCATCCTAATGTTTCACATAATGGCATACTGAGGCATCAGAATAAATAATTCACAGTAGAAGTAGTCAAATTGAGCAATTTAAAGTTTTAACAAAAATATATGCCTTCTATTTCCTGATGCAAATACTGCAGAAATGGAGCTAAAACGTTACTAAACACATATTGAGATTTTTTTTTCCCATGCATTTTGTGTTCTAGCATGTTCTAATCATCCACAGACAGTGGTTTTAGGCCCATTATACATTTAATAATAGAAGATAAACGTCTAATTTTGTCTCCCAAGAGATTTTAACAAACTTCATTTATGCTTATATAAGACTGCTGTCGTTTGATACGCAACAGTGATTATTCTATAACTGATCATTTAATAAACTATATTTCCTAGAAGTGTGACATACATAAATATAAAAAAAAGCAATATAAATTCTCTACTTGGTAATTGCATACCCTGCAATAATGCATTTCATTTCTAAAGAAGGCAAATATTGGCTTTCTAAGTGGCAATCGCACAAATTCAGAGATTAATTCTCTGTAACACTTTTAAATGTTGATATGAGTCGTGTTTTAAAGGGAATGTACGGACCTGGAGTCTACCCACGACACTAACCAGGGAATAAATGTGTCTAAAGGAACAGCGATCAGTGGCTAAACCGGTTTCCACATTAAGACATGAACTGCGTTGGTCTGACCAACGTTACGATCCCACTCGATGCTATCGAGGGAGTGAATAAACTCTCTCTCGCACATACACGATTCCACACGAGCGTCAGCGAACACAGAACGATTGTTTTTCATTCCGACACACAACCTGACCTATGTTCACTTCTGCATGTCTGCAAGTCTTTTGGTCGCTGTCTTTTTGTCCATTTCTTTGTCTTCCGTTCCGTGGCGTGG